GAACGTGAGCAGAGTAGCATCCATTACATCTCATCATCAACCACAAGATAATGCTTATCAGTACGCGATTCTTAACACTTATGTTGTACGCCGTCTTTATCGTCTAAAATGTGATCTAAATTTTTTTCTTTACTCTTCTGTTCGTTTTAAAGTATATAAATTTCATCGTAGCCAACTTCGTTTTCACAAACTATTTCAACGTTTTGCTTTTATTTATTATCCAAAGTTTTAAAAATTTGATTTCTTTTCCGAATCGCCTTTCTTCGTTTCTTTGCTTTGTTTGCTTCGAACAAATTTTATATTTAAAAGTTTAAATCGTTGCTAGATTCGAGAATTAGCTGTCAGTCATTATTTAATATTGATTTTAATTGTATAAATGCAAATATTTGAATTTATTGACGTTATCGAACTACAATATTCTTCAATCGAATTGATAGAGAGAAGATATATTCGAATGAATTTTTGTTGTTGTAAAAAATTCCTATTCTTTGGACGAAAACATCATAAAATTTGTAAAATCTCCAATATCCAATTGATATCCAATTTTATTTCTAAAAAATTTTTAGAAAATGCACACCGAAGTTCGCTGATTAAATTGAGTTAAGGAGGAAATAAAAGGACGAAGAACGGAATAAATGTCTTAGGTATGTCTTTTAATCAGTGTCACATCAGTGTTTTTCACTCACTAACATTCATTATTTCCGGTTTGGTCGCCTCTGCTGGCACTTACGATGAGTGCTTTCATCAGAGTCATTGGAGCGTATAGGTTAATCTGGATATTTCGCTCAAATACTCCTCAACGAATGGGAATCGAATCTGTAATGGCTTGAACTTAATATGAGTGATATAGCCGTCCACCACCGTGTCCATATGTATATCAAATAGTTTAGTAACTTAAGATTTTCGTTAATTCGAAGAAATTACCTAATAGAAGAATAAAGATAATCAAAAAAATAAATAATCAATAAAAATTTGTAGGGCCTATGATCTAAATTTTCGTCACCTTTAATAAAATGGTTTATGGATGAACCGATAAGCCGATGAACCATTCTAAAATTATCACTTGTTTTTTTCTTCTAATAATTTATTTATCATAGCGGTTTCCAAACTTATTTTAGCGTATTTATGAATTTATTTATGGAAATAAATTGGTTGATTATCAAATGGAATTTTGGAGAATTAAAAAATATTGTTTGTTTTCCTTGTAATATCCCATTTGCTCTTTATTATAATGACAGTGGTAAATTTTATAATAAATAATAACCGTTCTAACGAACGGAGTGATTCAATGCTATACTATGCTTCAACTAAGATTTCAACCATGCCACTCAATTGCCATCCCTTAATGGAAATCTATCAATGAAAATGCGGCAGATTAACATATACTCCAATTCCAATTCCGAAGTGACCCCCTAGCGGACGAATTTCATTCTGGTAGTAGCTGAACCAGAAACAATGCATGCCCTTAAGAAACGATGAACATTAGCAGTAACAGCTGCAAGCTAACATTTTCGGAGAAATAAACCAAAATCAAATTATAATCGCCTTCTAGCTATTCATAACTAAAAAAGATCTTTTGTTTCATGAAATTTTTTTTTTTTTTCTGCCAGCAAATTCTTCTTTAAATTGTTATGAAAAGCTAATGGATAATTATAAATGCTTTGGTCCGGAAAACATCTGACTAAATATTTTATCGTTGTAATAGTCGGTGAGAGAATAAATAAAAATCAGTGAGATTAATCTGAACAAGTGCACTCACTGATAAGCATTTCCTTAATTTTTATAGTAATTATAGTAGTTTTTTTATAATTGCAATCGGTAGAAACTATTGGTCGATTGACAGAACGTCAATTATTTTGATGGTTTAAACGGGAGTTTTGTTGTGCCTTCAATTTGTCCAATATTGGTAGTATTCTTAATGCTATAATCGATCATTAGCATTTCTCATTATATAATTTAATTATTGCAAGAAAAGTGAATAAAATCGAACAATAATCGAAAACTAAGAAATGGGCAATAAGCATACTTCATGAGTTGACTCGATTCTCTGGCACTTTTTATTTTAATAGATAATGGAGTCAGCTAAACCACAAATGATGAGCGGTGAATAAGGAAAAAATTAGCGATATTAAAAGCTAATTCAGGATTATCATTACGATTGTTAAATATTTTAGATTTATTTTTCTTCAACTGATTCTTTTGCATTAATTGATTTTTAATAGATTTTTCATCCAATGTAAATCGTTAAGCAGTTGGATATTCCTTTTTTCATTGCTTTACAAATTTCAGTTTTAGTAGAAACAAGGGTATCATATGGCCTCATTTAATATACAGGAATGGTCCAGTGGTTCGGTTATTTCGATCTGTATTAGAGATTCTATTCCGTGATCCTGGCAGAAGCGAACCTGTCATTAAAAACAACTTGGATGGTGCTGGCGACCTACACTTCATCGCAAAGTGACACCATGACAAAATTCCTAACTAATAGACAACGGGAGTAGCCTAATCTTATATTTACCTTTATTTAATATTTCCCATTCCTATCGTTCACAAACAATCGAAAAATAAATAGATTTAAGCCGAAGAAAAAATGGTTTTCAAGAGAATTTTTTGAATAAACTTCACAAATTTTAACAATTTTAGTAAATTTAAAGCGATATAAAATATCAGATATGGAAAAAAAGCAAATCTCCTTGTTTTTTGAAATTCTGAAGAATTTCTTCAAGTCATTTTTTCACTAACTTTTAATTCTCCGCCCTTCATGAAATAGAAAAACAGAAGATATTTCACATTTGCCCAATCCTTAAAATCATGAATTAGAAATTTCCAAAAAGTTTGCCTTATTGACAGAAAAATATTGAAGTATAATAAGCGAATGTATTTTTATTAATAATAATTGTTAGCTTTTGAAAATGAAAAAATAAGAAAGAAAATATAAAAACTTCAGCCGCGAATCAAAAAATTCAACTGAGATTAAGGAAATATCAAATTTTTAAAAGTCAAAAAATTCGATGATAAAACCTGCCAAACCTGCTAAACCTGAATATCGTCTGGAATTTATCGAATTTGTGAGCCAATTTAATAATTAGCACTGCAAAACGAACAACCATCTATTCTTGTTGCAGCATTATCTTAATACATCAGCTTATTTTGATGTATTTTTCTAACATTTTTATTTTTATATTATTAGGCAAAAAAGTTATATTTATTTAAAATGATTTTGCCGTTCACTGTTTTCAGAAATTTCTAGAAAGTGTGGCAAACACCTATTTTTTAATAAATGGAACTAAATACTACGAAGAACACTGCCGAAACAATTCAGAAAAAATTCTTTCTATTGACAAATTTTAACGGAAGGAAAATAATTGAACAATGGATTTAATATTAAAAAAATTGAACCAACAAACTGTATCGGTAATTATTTTTTACAATAAAATAATGCAGATGTAATAATAATAATAATAATGCAGATTAGGGAAAGGAAATAAATATATGAGGTTCACGAGAGAAAAAAAGTGGTTTCAGTTAATTTCAAGCATAGTATAGGGCCAAGAGCTTTGCAAACATGCTTGCCAGTGAAACCAATAATGGCTAAAACTGTTAGAAGACGAGAAGAATGAAAAAGTAATAAAATAAAATAAAAGTTATAAAACAAAATGTTGGAGTGTGATATTTCCAGATAAAGATGTATGTGCAATGATACCGTTACCGTTTTTGTTACCGTTGGCAAATATTTTACAGCTTTTTTATCTCTTTGAACTCCTTTACACTTCAATTATAATCTAAGACAATCTTAAACTCCGCTATATTATCTTAACACCCTCTTCAATCGGATGATATCTAGCCCTTCCCTGTATTCGCTTAACTTTTCTCGTTGGATACTCTTTTAAATGCTTCCTGAACATCTCATTTCTTAACATCATTTTAAACCTAATTGTATTCACATCTTATTCTCTCAGCTCGTCCGTACTATCTCTACACTTCTGAAACTCTCCCCATTATTCCTAACCATGTTATACCTTTAGATTCCATAGTACAATCAACTCACTGAAATTTTAGTCAAACTGCAAAACCGAAGTCTTCTAGCCTCATTTCTCTTTTGAACCTTCTATATACAGTTTGTACTCTATATTTTATCACATGTTCCGCAGACCCACATGCACCAGTCGTCCAGGTAAGTTAGAAGAGTAAAAAAGTAAAAAGTAAAGTCGATAAAGTTGATAAAATAAAGTCGCTGAGTATATATTTCCAAACAAAGATGTATGTGCAAGAGTAGTCTAATCTTTTAAAACAAAAATAAATATTTTAATAGTCCAAAACGACAGTTTAAATCTCAAGAAAATCACAGTTAAATCACAGTTAATCATAAATAAATTTAATAAATTTCGCCTGAATAGAATTTATTTGTGCGTCCAAATCCCATTTTTAAACCTCCATCTAAGAGCAGATTTAGATTTTCAGCAGGAGAAAATCTGCAGCAACACAATATTACTATTTTTAGTGATTATGCTAACCAAGATAATAAACGAAAACAAAACGCTTTTCAAGTTGTACAGAGACAAATATATTGATGACAAACATCAAATAAACGTCGATAAGAAGTTAAATATAGAAAATAGAGGTCAATACGATCTGAATAACTAAAAACAGTTCAGGCAAGGTCAAAAGGACGTATTTGACTGAAAACTAAGGTAAATAGATTAAATGCTACTGCAAAACGATCGGAAAGAAGCAGATAAGATATTAAGAGGGTCAAAGGTCAAGGCAAATGCGATATGGATACTCTTTATTCGTTTAACGGTTATTTTATTCATTGGCAAACCATTATCATTTATACAGTAGTAATGCTCGTATATACTTCCTTAAACCTCTATTTCAATATCTATTTTTCTCTTATTTAACCAAAGCTTTCAGGATGACATCTTGGAATGTAAAGTAAATATGATTGAAGTTTTGAAGGTTTTTGAGGATGCGAAAAAAAAGAACTTTTGAAAATTATTTTAATTATTGGAAATAAATAGATCCTTATATTTCTCTCTGAGCAAATTCTTTTGAACCTTTCCCATTGAATTTTTTGGTAAACAATCAAGAAAAATGATACGCTTCGGGATTTTATAACTCGCAAGTTGTGACTTCAGTTGCTCTAAAATGGATCGTGAATCGACTATAGTAGAATTCGACTCCTTAACACAAATAGCTACAACAGCTTCACCATAATCTGAGTGAGGTATGCCTGAAAAACAATTAATATTAGGAATAAACGCCAAAAAGTTGATATAAAAATGATTATAGAATTATAAGCGAAAATACGGACCAATTACAGCCGATTCAGATACGAATGGAAATGAATCAACAATATCCTCTACTTCCTTTGGAGAAACATTAAGGCCACCACTAATAATCATATCTTTTTCGCGCCCCAAAATCCACAAGTTTCCTGAAAAAAAATTAAATCGTTAACAGTACTGAGAAACAACTCAATTACAAATAAATATTAATAATAAACGAAAATATTAACTAAATTAATTTTAACTCCACCTTCATTATCAATACGCCCTATATCTCCTGTAATAAAAAATCCATCGTCAGTAAAACTTTCTTGAGTTTTCATCGGATTTCTCCAATATCCACTGAATAAACTTGGAAGACGAATTTCAAGCACACCCGTTTTAGATAATCGCATCTAAATTTGAAAAAGGATTACTAATATCACTTAAAAAATTGGTTGGAACGGAAAAAAAATGGTCAAGATTTAATATTCTATATAATAGAAGCATATGCAAAGAAACGTAAAGCTAAGGCATGATCTTCATTGTTAACATTATGTAATATTACACTAATTCAATAATATTACAGTAACTTAATATTACATTAATTATTTATATACCTCGCCACCTTTTAAAATTTTACCCACGGATCCAACCAATCGAGAATTCTGATCATAAGCATTCGATGTAATTACTGCTGCTAAAAAGGAACTGAGAAAAATAAAATGAGAAAAATTTCACAATTATTAAAACTATCGTAATCATGTTTTTTAATTGAAATTTAGATAAATTAACCAGAAATTTGATAAAATTTGAATAGAATTGAGTTTTAGAAAATTCATGTTCAAAAAGATGATATCACTGTCGAACATCGAACACTTTTCTCAATGAAACTATCAATGAGATCAATTAGACTCAATTAGACTATCAATTAGACTCGTTGTTACCTTCAGTCATTCCATATCTCTCCAATATTACAGAGCCTGTTCGTGAATGAAAATCGGCTGCAAGTGAAGAACTTAATGGAGCGCTGCCAGAAACAAATAATCGTATGTTACGTGTCACTTCTACATTGAATTCCTGATTTTTGAGAAGTCGACTAAAAATTTCGTACTTGATTAAAGTTAAATTTAAGTTAAAGTTGAAAAATTAAATCACGATAAAAATTAAATAGAAGACTATGAAAACCATCCAAACTACTGATAATGGTGAAAAGAATTGTTTGACCTGTAATAAGTGGGAACACCCATCATAACTGTCGACATAGGCAACCATTTTAATGCGTCTTCAACTGTAAATGAAGGCCTGAAAAATCAATAAATTAAGGAACTTTTACTTCAGTAAAATTACTCACCTGCATTTCTGTCGGAAAATGATTTCCTGGAAAATTTGCCCGGATTTGACAAGCCATTAGAGCAAACCTAACCAGAAATACTTTTAAGCGCTCTAGGAAATGTTATAATGTTATAATGTAATTTATTATGCCGAAAAGAAAAGGAGAAATTTTTCAAAAATTTCAAAGAGACCTCCATATAATACATGATTTCGTTAAAAGAGAACAGTTCAAACTGATAAACATGCCGTGAACATGATAGAAAGGCAACTGATGCAACAATACATCCGATCCAACGAAACGCCACAAGTCAATTAATGATTCTGCATTCCATTTCAGACCTTTATGAGTAATCATAGCTCCCTTAGGTTTCCCTAAGAATTCAAGCAGATATTAGCACAGACTAAGACTGCAATTGTAGCTGTTAACAAAAAATATCTAAGGAACATTAGCAAATGGCATTTAACCTTGTTAACTTTGATCAATTTTGATTTCAGGAAAAACTTAATAAACTTAGTGCAAAAATGAAAAACTTAAATCTTTCCAACACGAAAACTTATAAACTATTGGTTCAGAAGAAAAGTTGAAAGCATTAGTTTATAATTTGAAATAAACTTAATAACTACCAGTGGTTCCAGAAGTATAACAAATACAAGCTGTGTCATCTGGAAGGACATTTTCCATACCATAATCTGGTGAATATTTAGAGGCATCTCGAGCCATCATAGATAAATCAACAACATAAGGTGTACTATTAATGAATATACAGTCTTTATTGAGGTCAGAGGTTACAAAGATTCGAGGTTCCAAATCCTGCAACAATTTCATTAAAGCTTTTCATGATAAAAGAAATTTAAATGAAAGATTAAACTTGCTTTAACAAAATACATAGTTTCTCTCGATGTATACGTCGGAATGATGGGAACATAAATAGCTCCAAGACGAAGAGTGGCAAGATACAATGCCAAAATGTTAATGCTTTTCTCTGCTTTCACTAATAGTCGATCTCCACGCTAAAATACAAAAAAAATCAGAAAAAGCCAGAAAAACCACGAAGTATTTTTTAAAGAAGTTTTCTTAAAAGGAATAGTTCACTTTTTAACGTAAACCCATGCAAGAATGACGCATAAATAAGCGAAATTTTGCTGAAAATTTAAAGCCAAATAGAATGAAGTGGACTCACGCTTAAAGAATATTTTGAAGATAATAATGATACATATGATCCAACCGATGCAGCCAGATCGCCATACGACAGCGATATGCCTTCATCAATTACGACAGCAATTCGCGACGAATAATTAGAGTTGTATTCCAATCCCATACAACTTGTAATATTATTGCTCGCACATGCAATATTTCTTACGAAAGAGTGTTGGATATTCGTTACCACAATACGTATCATCTAAATCTCTTTCACGCCTCTTTAATTACAAATAGAAGGTTCAGTCGCTATAATTCAAACTGGAAGGCACAACCAAAACCCTCGTTGAAACAGATATAAAACAGATTTCGAACAATTCAACGATAATATTAAAAGAATAATATGGGCTTATATAACTGAAAAATTGGCAGACTATATTTTCGGATATAGCGACGAATCGAAAAGCTCAGGAATATCTTATTCTTAGAAGATAATCTAATCAGTATTGTACTATTGGAAGAAGCAGACATAATTGTATTAGCATTTCCATGTTGATCCAAACACCATATCAATTAAAGACAAGATAAAATTATTTTAAACCAGTCTCGAAAGTAAACCTACAGTTTATGAAGAATTATACACTATTTCGCAACACTGTAATTTTAATATACAAACAAAAATGATTTATTAAACATTTCAATTAATAATATACGAGTAACAACCGACAAATAATAAATAAATAAGCAAATAAACTAACCATCAAGAAAACCCGAATTCACCTTTCTCAGTTAAATAAAAAATTTCAACGACTTTAACAGAATAAATAATACATGATCAACAAAACAAAAAAAATTTGTGAATAAAAAATAAAAAAATATTCACTCATTTTCATATCTTTTTTCACATCTTTTTATGATCTACTGGATTCTTATCTTGCCAAAATATCAGCATTATTTATAAATTATTCACCTTTTTCTCTGAAAAGAATTGCAATCAAGCCGAGAAAAAAAAAACTTATGGACTAAACTGAAGAATGAACATTGCTGCAAGAAAAAGAAAAAAACCAATAAAAACTTCAAATATTAATAATAAAATATGACAATATTTTTGATTATTGGATGCTGAAATAATTAGTAAATGCTTAAAGAACAAAAAATTTACTTTTCTTTTTGCCCCATTGTCCTCAAGAGTCGATTGCCGGTTATAAAAGTAAAAGTGCCAAGTACCGAAAGATATTTCAACGTTTGAAACATATTTAAATGCAACCAAAATAAAAAATACAGACCAAAAATGGCTGAAAAAATTTAATATGCTATACCAATTTCGAGCGGAAAGAACATTAAAGAAAATTCAAAGTGCAAAGATGAGGATCTTTTTTTCTGCAAATCAGTCCAGCTGTCCAATTAAACGCCACAAAGATAATTAATATAAAATTTGGCGCTAAAACAATGAAAAAATAAAATCACCGAAAAGACCAGCATGAAATAGCATTGGAAGCGGCGACAAAGGCATATTTCCAAAATTAATTCCAACGCGTAACCACTAAAAACGAAAAGGTAAAATCCTTAAAATTTTTTAATAGCAAATAAAGTTTCAACAAATTAATTTTCAATTAAATAAATTAATAAATTAATGGCCAAAATTTCAAAAAAATAATTTACTAAAATAAGAAGAACCAGTAGAGGCAAAAGGCAAACAACACTAAATGCGTCAGATACGATCTGAGATGGCCGTTTTTCCGGCTCACGGAATATATGCTCAATAATTGGCAGTGGATCATAAATGACAAGTTCAGATTTTTTGAAAGGAGTTGAAGGCAATGATGGTAGTTTCATATTCACATCAACCTGAAATAATCAATTTTTAATGTGATGCATCTAAAATACCAAGCACTATTTGTCTTGATAAAAATTGAACTTCTTCTAACAGCTCTCACTATTACTGGTTAGACTGGCTCTAACGGCTACAAGGGTAAGACGTTTCCAAATGGCGCGGTCTGATGTCATCGTCGACAGTAATAAAAGCCACTTCTTTTTCCATCGTCTAAGTCCATGCTGGTCTACCTTACGTTCAAAATCATTTCTGACCGTATCAGTCCAGGTCGTGATTGGCCAACTTCGCTTTTGCTGCCACTCATCACAAGGTTTAGCAAATAACGAAATATGCGTCAACTCCTGTGGTGGACGACAGAGAACGTGCCCAAACCAGCGAAGGCGACGCTCTGTGATAAAATTAATACAGGTGGTATATGAGCGAAGATGGATACAATCATGTGTGATTTTATCCGCTCGATGGATCCATAATAATATATATCTTAGAAATGAGTGGTCAAAGGTAGATAATTTCTTAATATCCTCCACTCTCATTGCCATATCTCAGAGCCATATAGCAAGATCGAACGAGCCACGGCTATATAGAAGCGGACTTTCGTTTAAATGGTAATTTCACGACGGCTTCATAAAGGTTTCCTCAATCGGAAGAAAGCATTTCTAGTTGATGTGATCCGGGCTATAATATCGTCTTTTGCCTGGCCATTAGGTAATAGAGTGAACCCAAGGCATTTAAAATCGGGCATTTCTTCAACCAGCAATGAATTTATATGAGGAGACATTTTATGAACTTCTTGCAAATAAGACGAAAAGACTTTCGTTTTGTGTACATTGACCCTGAGCACTATTATTTCTGTAGTTTCTAACACGTTATTTATTACACGCATCACTTGCATTTCGTCATAACTGTCAGCAAAAAGGACTACACCTTATTCAAGATCTATGATACGATGCTCTGGATTGATTTGGACCCCCTTGAATGCCGACAAGCGGTGTCCATTACCCAGTATATCGCATAGTTGAATATTGTAGAGGAAAGGACAAAACCTTGACACCAGTTCTTATTTTAGAGGAATCTGTCAGTTCCCCATATACAAAGACCGCTCATAAAATGACTTTATGAGTCGAATCATCCCTGGAACATCATCGCGTCATCCTCATTCCATCATCCTCCAAGTACCTCTCTACCAACTGAATCAAAAGCAACCACAAATTCGATGATACACGTGAGTGGTTTGCAAATATCTGAAGCGATGTTGCAACATTCTTCTTAACGTGAATATTCTGGTCAGCGCCACTGTCTGAATCTAGCTTTATTAGGGCATATTCTGTCCCATACTTTTATAAATCTCTTGAGTGAAAGGGAGGCAAAATTTTCGTTGAGACATTATTTCTAGTAGCTGATTCCTCGATAATTGTCGCAGTATATTCTACCACCTTTCTTGAGAATTGTTTTGCTCCAATCATCTGGTAATATTTTTTTCCATACTAGAGAGTATATTTATTGAAGGTGTGTTATGAAAGAACATTTGAAGAGTTCAGCCTGAAGACCACCTTCTCCCAGAATCTTATTGTCCTTAAGCTTATGGATGACAGAGATTATTTTTTGATCTGTTGGAAATGCAAGCATATGGTTCGGCAAATGTGTTAACTATATTAGGGGTAACAGATGGCGATAAAATTGAACTAGAAAGAAAAATATAAAGAGAAAAAATAAGCTTACTAGATTCCAATCCAGTGCATAGGAGATAGCAGCATCACCAATAATTAAGCGCACGAAATATTTACCAGAAAAGCCTTCGAAATCTTTCCAAGACTTATCTAGATCCTGCAAGTTTTACATCTAATACAAAATCGAAGATTACTTCCAGATGGATTTTATAATTTTCTTTTCAATGATATATTATCAACGCATATTATATTTAAGCTCATCAAATTAACAAGAAAAAAGAAATAAAAAATTGCCATATCAAAAATATAAGTGTTTGAAGAATCAGCAGTCGCAACATAAATAATTTCCTGTGCTGTTTCTTGATTGACAAAGGCTACGAAAGCTTGATGCACAGTAACTGCGTCATTTGATTTTGCTTCTCGTACAGTAAATTTAATTTCGATTTTAGTATGGTCGTCTGCTTCAAGCACTTTCCCAAGCTTAGTACCCTCCTTTGCACTAAAATTTTCATCTAACGGAATAAAAACTATGCAAAAATATTGCAATTTTAAAAAATTGAAGCAAAAATTGATATATAAATATAAGAAAGAAAATCAATACATACGAATAAGTAGTTGTTGGTTTTGTAAGTTCGCGATCAAAGACAGCAATGGAGATATCTTCGATACGAATTTTTGCCAGGAGCTTGACAACAATTGAAACACCATTCGTACCAATCAGTCGTTTGTCCTAATTTGAAAAAAATTTAGATATCATCCAATAAAAAGAGAATAAAATAAAACAAAAAGGAAAAAATTCAAAACACAATAAACCATCAACCTGGCTACCAGCTGTGAGGGCCAAATTATAAAATCCACGCCGTCTGGCTCCATCTAAAGATACTTGATAAAGTGTTCCTGTTTTATCAGTTGTAACTTTCGTAAAAGATTTTGTTACAGCAATTGCCTCTTTAGAGATGACATGGGTTGCAACATCTAATGTGATGGAAAGCGGTCCAACAGATTCGCCAAGTACATTGCAGATACGCAATTTAATAGGCTAAAAATTCCATCATTAATATGAACAATTAAACAATGAAATCAATAATCAATCAATAGGATGTTTCGTGAAAAAACCACTTATTATAACGAAACAAATTAAAACCTGTGTGATGTCAGTGACTTCAATTTTAGAAGCGAGAGAAAAGACAACAGGAACTTGAAAACTATTTGTTGCCAGCCTTTTCAGAGTAATGGTCAGTAAATAAGCGGCATAATCCAATTGAATCATCTTTCTGCTAAGGAGATAATTTGTCAGTTTTATAGCCTCATCCTTCAAAAATAACTGATATGGTGGAAAAATAAAACGTTTCCATTAACCAACAACAGTAGATAAAATCTCTAATGAGAAACTCAACATCTAATTTGTATTCGAAAGAAAATTTTATTGAAAAAACATACGCTCTTAATACTAGGTGATTTCTTCAACTTATCTGCGAGAGCATATATTCCATGAACTGCAAGAGCAGTTACTGGTAATCCATTTTCCAACTGGAAATTGGTAATATGAGATAATAAAATAGTATAATAAAAGCAATAATCTATGGAAAAAAAATTAAAAATCCTCATCAATATTTATTTAATCTAATCAATTTTTAATAATCTGTATATGTGATACTCCTGTCACAAAATTTTTTATCAAATCTATCATTTATCATTTTTATCAATAAACTGTATTTCTTTTTATCATGTCACACAAATTCCATTTTCACGAACTAACCTGAAGATATTTTCCATCTATTTCATCAGCTTGTGAAATAAGATCATCTGCATAAGTAAGAAATCTGGCTGCTGCTTCCATATCCAATAATGCTGCAGCATTTAAACCATAAGCTAGGCTAAAAATATTGCGCGAAAATGAAATCGAATTTAGGAAAATGAATCGAAATAAATTTAACTCAACACAATTTTTTTAAAAAATTCGATATCATACACTTGGGAAAAACAAATAAATAAATACTGCACAATAATGATAATTAAACCATCAATTTCAATAGAAAAATTCAACTAACCTGTGAGGAGTTGAGTTAGTTTTTAAGGCTGCTACAAGCCTAATACTAGCTTCATTATTAGCAAGCTTTTGTTTTATCATGGCGGCAACAGATAATGCGAAAAATATATCTTTGGAAGTAGCTCCCGTATTCGCCAATACCTCTTTCACAGTTTTACCTGCTATTTCATTTTGTCCAATATCGCATTTATTGAGATTCGTTGCTATGCTCAATAAGTGGTAAATATCTTCTATTCCTTCAATGTTATATTTGGGGATATTTTCACAAATTATCTAAAATATTACAATAAATCATCCAAACGGATAATAATTACAATACAATAAGTTGATATTTTTTCTTAAGTACCTTTGAAAAAAAAGTCGATGTTAAAATATAAATAAAAAGAAACTATTTCAATATTCAATATTTTTTTATTTTTTCAGATTAAAAATGACGACGATATAGATAAAGTAAAAATAAAATTACCTGTTGTTGCTTTATATTCAGTGGCGTTCCGAGAATTTTCAAACCACTCACACCATAATGTATTGCAGAGAGTTTCTAAATTTCTTAAAATTTTTTATATTTTAAAATTTAATTCACAATTCACAAATCGATATAAAAAATGAAGCTTTAACAAAAAATAATGTTAGCATAAACATATTTGATATATTTAAAATTTCGAACAGAAAATCAGCAAAATTCAGGAAAATCTTCTTCTAACAGCCCTTTCCATTATTGGTTAGGCTAGCTCGGTTGGTAAGACGTCTCCAAGCTGTTCGATCCGATACCATCGTCGACGGTAGCAGAAGCCATTCTTATTTCCATCGTCTATCCATATATCACTGGTCCATCTACGTTCAAAATCTTTCCTGACTGTATCAGTCCAGGTCTTGACTGGCCTCCTTTTGACTGTTTAACATTATTAGCATTTTGTCAATAATTGCCAACAAAAAGGACTACATAAACAGCATGGTCTATGATATTATGCTCTGGATTGATCTGTGCATCTCTTGAGAGCAACAAGCGATGTCCATTATTCAATCTATAGCGTTGAATATTGTAGAGAAAAGGACGCAGCCTTGACGGATTATTATTTCGAAGGAGTTTTGTGAATTCTTCTAAATATACAAATCTATGCCGATATACGCTTTATGAGTCAGATGATCTTCTCTGGAACACCATACCCCTCCAAAATGTTGTTCTATCAATTGAATCGAAGGCAGCTGCAAAATCGATGAAAAAAGTGATGGCATGTTGATATTTGAATCGATGTTTCAGTACCCTTAGCATCCTGCTATCTCATAAGCCTATTCATTAGGAGAAAAAAATTTTCCCTGAGATGCTGATTCCTCGATAATTGTCACAATATGTCTTGTCAACTTTCTTATTGGGAGCAGAATTGCTTGTTCCAGTTAGGTACTATTTCTTTCCTCTGTACTACAGAATACATTTACTGAAGATATGAAAATATGACGGACAACATTTGAAGAATTCAGCCTGCAGACCATCTTCCCCAGGAGGTTTTATTAGCCTTAAGCTTCTGGATGACAGATTGTTTCCCGTTCTGTTAGCGGTTCCCAGTTGTAGACATATGGTTCGACGAATGAATCAGTTATATCCGAGATATCGTAGTTTGGCCTCAAAGAATTTCCTCGAATTTCCTCCATCTTATGATTCTCATCCTTAATAGCCTTATCAGGCATATCATTACTACCCCGTTATACTTACCATTCTCCGAGTTATAGTTATTTTGTGAAAAAAATAGTTGAAATAGTTTCCTACTACCTTCTCCTCGAATCAGCAGCTCCATTCTCAAATTTCACATTGTTCCAATAGTGATTTCTGTCCTGCCGTGCTGCAGTCATTGTAATTCTTCGAAGCACCTGATAGTTAGGATGTCCTGACATTTATGCTTTGGTAGCCTTTTCAAACAGACCAGCTGTTTTCGATGTCCAGCTAGAACATTTTCTGCTCGCATACCCTAGTACGAAAGTGGCCGAGACATGCCTTTGGCTCGGGACTCGGGACTTTAATTGGGACTCAAGAGACTTGAAATAAGGAAGATGGACCTCTCCGACAAACAGGCAACATATTTACAAAAAGTGGGGACAGTTATCGCTTGATATGTAACATTCTGACGTTCCTCCACGTGATCTGTATCGAGATCTGTTGCTAGATCTGTTTCGAGCACATCGACTCGTGGGAACATTGGATTGCATTCTCAAGCCTTGAGATTATTGGACTAGGCCTCGACTGCATACTTATCACATGCATGTACTGGAATGGAAGTACCATACGCGTCGAAGAACGTGTACGCCCTTAATAAAAAGTTCTAAACCTTTCGTTACAGGTGAGTCCAGAGCAGTCACCCAGAGAAAGCAATTTTTTATTTTATTTTTATAATTTATAATTTGGACACAAACTTTAGTATTAGCAGCATCGTTGAATACTTTTTGTAAATATTGCCGACTTGTTTCATCAAGATACGAATTCAGAAAGGGTGTAGCAGAAAACAGAGGTTTGACTATCCATAGCAAAACGATTAGACTGAAAGGCGCATTCATCTCGTTAATTTCCTAAAAAGCTAACTAAAAATGACAAAAATCAAAGATGTTTTTATATTGTTCAGAAGTTCTAGGACTATCCTTAATTAAATTAATTATTAAATATTAAAATTATTATCGTGAGGACCGAATTATTATGCTGAGCAACTATTCCCGAACAACTATTCCCCTTCGATTGGAGTAAAACCTATAATTGAGAAATCCAATCCGCCCTGACGACTAATGGCTCCCAGCAAAAATTTTCTAACTGTACTACCACAGCCTAACCTGAAACGCTAACCACTTATTTTTACATTCTTTTATTTCGACGCTGACAATTTTCCAACTAATTTCTACTCCTTTTCACCTTTATTAACGATTCTATTTCTTCTGAATTTATTTTTTTTTCAAGAGTCTCACCATTGCTGGTTAAACTCGCTCCACTGGCTTGTCGCAATTGAGCAATATGCCAGAGAGTCCCTTGGCAATAGAAATACCATGTGTGTCGCCAGCATCACCCGGATTTTTGTAGAGATTCACTCCTGCGGGTAGGCGAACCTCAGCACCGGTGCTCCGAATTTGACAACAACCACTGAGCTATCCCAGCCCCCAAACTTCTTCTGAATTATGCGATATTTTTTATAGTTATACGAAATTTTATGCGAAATTACAAGCAATTTAAAAGAAGCGAAACCTTAAGCGAAACTACTTATTCACTTACGCAAAGCACATTTAAGCATATCGGGAAAAATAGCACCGAATCTGACCTCTTTGAATTTCACTTCTTCCAAATTCCTTTAACTAAATCCCCTCTCCAAATCTGTTAATCTGTTAATTCGGCCCCTTAACAAGTCCAAAAAATAGAAGCAATTAACCGAACTACGACGTGTTCCAACCTAACAACTTTTTCTCGGTCGAACGTCGGAGTCTGAAATACTATAAAGCGGCTCGGCTTTGTGAAACTGGCATTCGGTACGAAAAAAATCAAGATAAAACTATATTATAAATATAAATTTTTCTTCATCAATATCAGAAAATAATAGTTTAAGCTTTGCGAGTCAGATTGCGAGTGTTGGTTCTCGTCAGTGGCCAAAGCCAGATTGCGAGGAATGTGGGGAAGTGGGGTATGGGGGACGCGGGACTTCCCCGCCATTCGAGGACTGTGAATTCAGGCTTATCGAATCAGTTCCGGCCTCATCAAGCGTTGCTGCTTATCTGTTTTCCGTTTTATAATTTTGTGATATAATTTTATAATTTTGAACTTATTTTATTTTTATTTTATTTAATTTTGTGAAATCTTTGCAACAATTAATTATTTATTTAATTAATTAAATGTATATAAAATTTTTATTAAAATAAAAATTTTTTCTTGCAATTTTGCAATTTCGCTTATTTTGCTATATCGAGGAAATTAAACGGAATATAAGTAAAGATAATGGAAATTTACAGAATATTTTTTTTTTAAATTTTTGCCATTTGTTTCTAAATTTTAATTCGCATTGTATTAATACAGCAATTTCCTCCAAATTTGATAGTATTTATTATTGTTTTTATTTGTCATTAATATTCATATATAAATATTTATGCATTAAATATTATTATTTTTTATTATTTTCCGATTTTTATTGTAATTGTATCTATTACATTTCATTTATTTTTTTTAAATTTTCGTGATTATATTCGTTTTTTTGTGTTTTTTGTTTAAAATGTAAAATATATTGTTGGAATTTTATAAATTTGTCGAAAACCTCTCTAAAATTTGCTTGTAAAATTAATTTACTTAGTGCATGCAATTTTTGCTCGAATTTTAAAGTACATATTAAGTATAGTTTTCTGTACTGTGAAATGCTTAATTTGGAAAATACATTTGTTTTAGACGAATTATAAAAATCCGAAAAAACTTATTGCAATCGGAGCTACCATTTCGACTAAACTTCCAAAATTTCTTCTTCTTCTTCTAAGAGCTCTCACCATTACCGGTTAGGCTGGTTGCAACGGCTACAAGGGTAAGACGCTTCCAAGCAGGGCGACCTGATGCCATCGTCGACAGTAATAGAAGCCATTCCTTTTTCCATCGTCTAAGTTGCTGGTCCACCTATACATTCAAAATCTTTCCTGACCGTATCAGTCCAGGTCTTGATTGGCTCATCTCGCTTTTGACGCCAACATCACATGGTTTAGCAAGTAACGAAATATGCGTCAACCCCTGTGGTGAACGATAGAGAACATGCACCGAAGGCGACAATATTAATACCGGAGGTGTTTGAACGAAGGTGGGTGCGATCAGATGGTGTTTTGTCCGCCCGACGGACCCGTAAAATATACCTTAGACAAATTTCCACCACTACGTTTTAAGAAAATAGGTATCTGCAGGGTTTTCGCAATCCCTATCCCCCCTCCTCTCCTCCATTCTCCTCGTAAAGCAAAATGTTTCCATTGTATATATAATCTACGAAAATTTGAAGAATTTCACTGAGTTTTTAAGCTGGAAATGCAAAACTTGAATTTTACACAATGAAAAGCAATATGTTTGAGTTTGTTTCATCTCTCTCAAATGTCAAAATAAATTTTTCGCATTAATTTTCAAAGTTTTTGCCGATAATCTCTTTGAATTTGAATTTTTTGTAATTTCATTGCAAAAAACAACAAATCGGTTTGAATTTCGCATTAAAATTGTTCGAATTTATTTGATATAAAGCAATTTTTTGTGCAAAATTTCTAATTTTAATCGGCTTCGAGTAAATAAATTAATTAGCGGCAATTAAACAAAGGTGTTGGAATAATTAGTTGAGGTGAAATTTTCCACTCGAAAGGCATATTAGTGCAACGAGCCAGAGGAGCGTGTCTAAGCAGCAATGGCGAGGGCTTTTACAAAATGAGCTATTCCAGTTGCCTTTATTCCTGCATTTTCTACTTGTGCAAATAAGCAGAGAGACAATAGAAAACAGTAGAAGTATGTGAATAGTGAATAAGCAGAAAACTGCAAAAAGGAAAATTCTCTTTGCATAGCTCGCCTTCCAGCTGAATAAAGCCGCAACTTGGTTGCATGCAGGTCGATCAAAGGTTGTCAAAATTAGCAGTGACTGATGAAAATGATTCTTTGAAGGCGATGCATCCGGAATGAAAGAGAGATTTCCTTTAAATAATATGAGAATAAACTAAGCGCACTATTTTTAAGCGACCTCTGATAATTCTGGAATAAATCGCCAATTCACAGTTTCTACGCATTAATATCAGAATTTTAAGATTAGATTAAGCAGAGTTATCCACAGTGACCTGTTTTTCGATTATTTTGTCACACTTCCATTCTATTTATTTATTATTGTTGTATCCATCTTGCAGCGCTGCGCTTATCTTCCATTCTTGGAGAGACCTCGTATGTTTTCGCAGGATTAAATATCGCCGTAACTTCTATTCGGTTAAAGCAACAATAAAAATCTGAAATTGTTTCTCCCGCTCGTTTCACCAGACTTTCATGTATTCTTTTAATTTTTTATTCTACTTTTCGCAAAATTATGGAAATTTTATATGAAAGCATACCTCACTTCTTGAGGCACAGTTGTTGCTCCTTTATGAAATCTAATCTACGGTCGGCATTGCTTTGATCTTATTCAGAAACTTAACTGAGATCGATTTGGCTTCTCAATTTTGTCCATATCAATGCCACTCCGTATTTCACTTAGGTTTTGGCTCATCCGATGCTCTTCTTCCAAATTTTAATATTTATCAGCTTTCTAAAAATTAAATATTGCACTGAGAATCATATTAGCTCACAGTTAGATAAGGCCAGCTCTGGTTGTGCAAGGTGCGCAGGAATTTTTTTTCTTTTTATATACGATTGATTTTTTTCATAAAAATCAAAATCTTGTTTTATAAAAGCCGTCGAATATTATTCCAATAATCCATAATCATCTTGAATATTCTTCTTCTTCTAACAGCTCTCACCGTTACTGGTTAGGCTGGCTTCGCTAGCTGCAAGGGTAAGCGTCTCGGTTTTAGCCATCGCTAGTAATAATAGAAATCATTTTTTTTTTCATCGCCTAAGTCCATATACGTTCAAAATTTTTATACTGATTGTACCAGTCCAGGTTTTGATTGGTCCACCTCGCTTTTAGCGCCATTCATCACAGGGTTCGGCAAGTAGTGAAATATGCGTCAACTCCTGTGGTAGACGACGGAAAACTTGCCCTAACCAACGAAGGCGACGGTGTATGTTAACATTATTAATACAGGTGGCATTTGAGCGATGATGGATATAATCATGTACGATTTTATCCGCTCGATGGATCCATAAAATGTGTCATGTGTCTTAGACATGGGTGATCAAAGGCAAATACCTTCTAATATCTCATCTTCACTATGTGGCCAAGTTTCGTAGTCATATAGCAAGATCGAACGAATTGCAGCTATATGGACTCGGATTTTTGTCTTTTATGGTAATTTCGTGACGGTTTTATCAACAGGAAAAGCACACTTCCTGCTTTCGTTATCCGGGTTACAATTTCACTCTTTGCTTGGCCATTTGGGAGTGAAGTGGATCCGAGAAAAGCCAGCTACTTTCTTCACCGGCAATGAATTGATAAAAATAGGTATTTATCAGCATCTTGCACATGGGCAAAAACATTTTCGTATTATTTTCATTGATTTTGAGTCCAATTCTCGTTGAAATATTGTTTAACATTATTTGCATTTCATTAGAACTGTCAACTAAATCATCAGCGTATTCTAGGTCTGCGATGCTATGCGCTGGAGTGACTCTGGACTGAATGGACTGTACACCTTTTGAATGTCAATAAACAATGCCCATTATCCAGTCTATCGCACACTTAAGGACACCAGTTCTTATTTCAAAGGAGTTTGTCAGTTCCCCATATACACAGACCTGTGCTAAGGCATGTTGATAAAAACCCTTTATGAGCTGAAAGATCTTCTCTGGAACACCATCACATTTCATCACTTTCCAGAGCGCTGCCTTATCAAGCGAATCAAAGATAACTGCAAAATCAATAAAACATGTGACGGTGGGCAACTTCTTAGCATAAATATCTGGTAAACACAACCGCGTCCTGGTCTGCGTCTAGCATGGCATTCTGCTATTGCGTGTTACCATGAATCTATTTAGCAGAGGCGAAGCGAAAATTCTTCCAGAGATGGCTGAATTCCTCGGTAACTGTCGCAGTATATCCTTAACTTTCTTAGGAATTGGAAGCTTTGCTCCAGTCTTCTGGTATTATTTCCTTTTGCTATACCAGAAAATACATTTGTTGAAGATGAATTATGGACAATGATGGACTCCAGTTGTAAACGTATGGTTTAACGAGCGAATCAGCTATTTTCAGAGCAACGGATGACGCATCATGATTGAAGTTGACTTCAAAAAATTCTTTCCATCTTATGAGGCTATTCTTAATATGCGCCGCATTAATATCCATATCATTTCACTAACCCCTTCTCGCTTATAATTACTTTATGAAAAAAGCAAAATAATTTCCTATTATACCTAACCGAGCCGCCGTCTCCATTCTCAAGGTCATTTCGCTCCTATAGTGATTTTTGTACCACTCTGCTGCTGTTGTTGTAAATCTTCGAAACATTCAATAATCATCTCTTGACATTTGGGCTTTAGCAGCTTTTTCTGACAGTTGTACAGTTATTTCCGATATCAAACTAGCGCATTTCCTACTAGTATAACTTAATATACTATTGTAAGCATGTTTTTAGTTGAGACCAATATTCATCCGATGTTCCAGAGATGCCATTAATTTATTTACATTTATTTCATTGAGGTGTTTCAATAATTCGATTTGAAATGCACTTATTATTCTTGGATCTTTTAGTTTGAGATAGTTGAAAGATCTTGTTTCTTACAACTTGTCAATTTTATGCGAATTTTGGTCCGAATTGTATCATGGTCTGATCCATGGCGGTTACCAGTTTCAATGTCCCGATGAGAAAGGTCATCTAATCCGGAATTCAGTGGTGACTGACCAATATATAGTTAATTTGATTAGAATTTTGATTATCGGGGAGTTTCACGTGACTAAATGTCTTCTCCAATGCCAAAGCATGTGTTAGAAAGCTTATGTAAGAAAGAGCTCATGTTGTTCGATAAAACGAAGAAGGTATTCTCCATTGGGCACTGCAGCGATACCATATTTGCCAGTTACCGAATTCATTATAACGGCATTATCACCAAAGGGCATTTCAGCCTCCTCCGATTATGACCATGTCACCTCTCGATAGAGATGGGTTGGAGCATATGAACTCATGACCGAAAAATTGTAGAATTTTCCTTTGAAACGCGCATAGGCTATACTGTCTGGCTCACATTTAATCAGAGCGGATCGAGCCTTTTCAGACATGATAATCATTACCATCGAGCCATTTTGCCCCGAGTTGTCCGAGACACCACAGTGATATAGCCAATATCCTTTCTCAGAACCAGATTTAATAATTACTCGAGAACTGACATGAGGAAAATGGATTTCCGACAAACAAGCCACATCCACGCGATGTTTAGAAAGGGTGTGGACAGCTATCGCTTGGCTTGTAGTATCTATAAGCTTTCTGATGTTCCAGCACCTCACCGCGCTTATAAAGTACTAACGGATAGGTTCTCATTCTCGTCTACTTTGACGTATTCTGAGTAATTGTTCCGGCTCGCGAGCATATCCTATGCTCAAACCTTTAATGACATATTAAAGAAATAGGAAATGGAAATAAGAAATTTTTCTTGACCGCACTTATAAAAATTTTTAAGCTCGTCAATTTCCTCAAATCATCGTGTCAAAAGGCAATTAAACGCCGAAAATGTGAATCTCCATGCAGTTTATTTAAATGGATCTGTGGGCCTAAGATTAAGTGCTTCGGTATGGGAGAAATTCTCAAATCATATCAGAATGGAATTTTCGTTGGAAATTTACGTGAAAATCGAAGGTGGACAACCCGATTCTGCCACTATATTTGGTATTTTAGTTAATAGATCATATGCCAAAAGAAGGTTAATAGGGTAAATTAGCGCTTAAAATAGGTTAGAAACACTTGTACAAACTAGCAAAAAGTCCGAAACTCATCACTGAGGTCATTCGATCGTTCTGTGACTGGGTTCATTAAGAATTAATTAATTAAAGAATTAAAAATTAAAAAAGAATTAAAAATTTATCTACTTGCTTGAAAATAACCTATCAATTTTATGTGTATTTTCATTTGAACATTTTTTTGCAAAACAAATAAGATGCAAAATTAAGCTATAAGTGATATTTGTGGCCAAAAAAGCGGCTCTTCTAGCCTAAAAATTGGAATTGAGAATGAAGCAAATGGCGAGCATAAATCAAGGCTTACTGTTTTTCTCAATGCTGAAATGGCACACAATCCGATTATAATCAGGTTATTCGAGAATAATTTTGAAACAATAAAAATCTCAACATTTATGTATATTAATAAATAGTCTAACTCATTATATTGGAAGAATTTATTACAAAAGTCAAGCATGCATTATAGATTCATTCATTCGATTTTTAGCCTTAAAAAGCCTAATTATCAGTGAAGACAACCAAATTAAAACAGTACGCTCTTAGAAAAACTGGAGAAATATTGATATCTGAAGCGTAGTTATATGAGTTTAGAAGAAAAATGATGGGAACTGAAATCAATTGTAAACGTGTCTATTATTAATAAACTTATCAAATATAATATAATTTTGTATCAAAAAAGTTAATGGATCTGTTTAAACGCTCTCAGGAATGAATATCCATATGTTGTGGATGAATGGTTGCGAATTTTTTTAGCCTTCAGAAACGACAGATTGCAACTATACGCGAATGGTGCTCGTATCGCTCAATCGCTAAAACAGGTCATTAATTAGTATCCTTAAGCTATCAAATTTTTTTCCTGGAAATCAAATATGGCGTCAAAATTGGCAGTTTTCGGGAATCATTTCAGAAGATAGCAAGATTTACATTCTTTTTTTATAAATTATAAATAAAGAAAAATGCTACGTTCAGGTACAATTAAGTTGCCCACTTAACGGATAAGGGAGACTGTAAATTAACACCAGTTTGTTTTTGCACTTTCCTCGGATTTTTTTAAAATGTACGCTTTACACCGAAGCACTTCTGTAGTATCTTCTTCAATAAGTATCCCGAGTATTGAAAGCCATATTCCAAATTCTATGGTAATAAAAATCGTTGATTCCAGTCAAGCAATTTATACTCACAAATCCGAAGTGCCTGCAAGAGAATATTTATTGGAACTGATGGAAAGCAAAATGGTCGAGAGGAGTTAGTTGGCTTTCGTGGCTTTATCGCCAAAATTCGCATTGCTGATCGCTATAAGAATCACTCGGCGTTAAAAAAAGAGAAATGGGATGATACAATATTCGAAGACGATTTTCAAGCACTAAATCATTGGCGAACTGTCGGTAAATTTATTTAAATTATCGTTCAAATAAAAAAGTAAAAATTTGAAAAAAAATTTGCTTTAAAATCAAGAAACTTTTGGTTCAGAAGTAGTTATAAGAAATAATACGGCTAAATGACCGAACGTGTATGGAAAATCACTTGCACAAGAGGTCGCTTCTTATCAATGTTAAAAATAAGTCTATCCAGTTGCTCCAGGGGACCCGAGTGCATTTCTTTTCTAAAGCAGCTCTCTGACAAAATTGCTTAATTGCAGTGGAGGGAGTTTAATGCTAATTCTAGCTACTCACAGTAATCATGAATCGGTTAAGGCATGGAAAAAGAGCTCCGAATTCATGAATTTTATGAGAGACATTCTGTGTTGCAAATAGATATACCAACATGTGGACAAACAGTATGTGATAACCCTCAAATTATCACGAATTATCAGAAAAACTGGCAGTTTCACGCGAAGAAAAACTTACGTTATCGCTTTGTAGTCTTAAATGATGATAATGGAAGGTACAATTCATATTCATATGTCCTTTATATCTTGAATATCGAATCATCGAATTATAAAATTTGAATACTTATGATTTTTTCATTCAGCAATCCGATAGTTAACATGGATTATGTGAAAAAACTGAATGCTGCAGTGACAAAGACATTTATACATTACAATATAAGGTTATATTTTCAGAAGAATCGTTTAAAAATAATTCCTTAATTAATTTAATCATTTAAATTAATAAAATTATCTTCTAACAACTTCTATATCACTTCTATATCATTTGATATTAGCGAGTCACTCGGGGAGTAAAGAACAGGCGGATCAATCCCCCAAACGTCTCGAATTTCATTTCTAATAATAGGTTTACTATCGCTAAAGAAAACAAATTAAATTTATGATGGTTTGAACATAGTCTATTGAGGAATATTTTACTAGATCACTCTGAACTTGCTATTCAAGTCCAAAAGTTCAATTTGTTTTTAGTTGGACTATGGAACTCACTGAAATCAATAATACTTTATTACGAAGGAAGAAAATTATATTTGGCTGTCGGTCATCGTCGATAGGAAACAATCACTGTGATGCTGAATGTCGTCACCCGATTACTGGAGATGATGGTGGTGACTGTAAGCCAGACAAGGTGATTATTCTGCGTATTCCATGCATTAAAGAAGGCGCGGAAATACATGGGATTTAAGCTATATTCTCAATATGTTCCCAAAATCTTTCTAGAATTTTATAATTTTTTTACATTTTTTTTACAAAGGTAAAGTGTGAAAATTCGTTGATAAGGAATGGTCGCTGTGATCAAGAATGTAATAACAGAGAAAATGAATGGGATGGTGGAGAATGTTGTGGGCCAGAAGATCCAGAGGAGAACAGAAACTGCTTGGACCCATTATCTCCCCATAGGTAAAAGGATTTTTCTCACTACAATTTATTTAAAAGATTCAAAGGTGGAAAAAAATGAGAAAAAAGGAACTATATTTTGACCATTTTAAAAGTAATCATATCTTAATCTTAATCATATCTGAAAAATAAAATGTGTATAGTGTCAATTAACCATCCTAACAACTTCTAATAACTTTCAGAAGATATATATCAAGCGAAGAATACAAGCAGATAGCAAACCAAAATAACGAGAGAAGCCTTACCATACAATTTGCTGATTGGGATGCAATGGATGTGCTTGGTTTAGCAACATTTCCTTGGGAAAAAGATGTCTATAATAATGAAGGCGGCATATTACTACGCCCTGATGTTTCGGAAAATTCAGCCAACAATCTTATCCACGAAATAGGACATGTCCTTGGACTTTGGCACGTTCATCATGGAGTTGACGAAATTCCTTGCGGTGATCCATGCCATGAAAAAACGCCTTCAATGATCACCGGTAAATTAAAATTGATAAAAAATTGATAAGAACTAAAATTTAAAAAAATCAAATCAAAAAAATCAAAAAAAATTCATAACGGATTGAATAGCGCAAAAATTTTCGAATTGAGAACAAAAGTTTTTTAACAGGTGATTTGGCAAGCGATACTAATCCAACTCTGAGAAATATAGAATGTTCGGATCCAAAGGGCATTGGTCCCTGTGGCGAACATGGTTTCAAAGATACGCCATTTCGAAATTACATGAGTTATGCAGGTGAATGAAAATTTAAAATTGTGAGATTTCTATTCTTATTTCACGCACACCTTGGATAATACCACTGTTTTTCACTTTGGTATGGTATATATTTCCTCTTTTCCTCCTTCTAATAGAATTCTAATAGTATTCATTTCTTCTGGGTTATTCGCTTCAGTGATTATTAAGATGAGATCAGAGAGAATCACTCAAGAAGTTCAGGTGAACCTCCAGCAGCACCCTTGAAAGCAACAAAAAAAACTACAAACAATCTATGCATTTCTCGTTCTCTAAAGAGAAATAAAATGGATGTTCAAAAGAAATATTTTATAACGTTGTACTTAAGGAGGGAATTGCATGAATAGTTTTACTCAACAACAAATGGCAAGAATGCATTGTTACATCGACTTGATGTATAAAAACTGGCTAATAGATGAGGAAGCATCTCAAAAGTTCCAAATTCCAATTGCTCCTAGAATTGTACCTCTACACAAACGAGGAAATCAATCAATCATCATAGTTAGACAATTTTTCAAAACATTCGACGGAAAAAAGATTTCGGAGCGACTAAGTGCTCTAAATTTTCTTTTTTTCATTACGAAACTCAAACGATCTTTAAAAATTTCTTAATTTCTTTTTTTAATAATTTTATAATTTTAAAATAAAATACGATTAAAATTTAATAATTTTAATTTTTTCAATAATTTTCGAAATGGACAAGTCCAATTGGTGAAAAGATATGTAGTCCTAAAAATAAAAAGGCCAGACATACAGAATGCACCCACGATAACAGAATATTACAATATGCAATATTCGCAACGTCTTCCGATCCTTATCAAATGTCTGGTTACTGGGGACCTGAACAAGCTACAGGTCTGTCCAATTAATTCTTTTTTAAATATCTAAATGACCCGATTTTCAACTTTATCACGAATATTTACTTAGATTGATCGATTTAAAAAATCGATTTAAAATTAATTAAAAATCAAAAAATTAAGGCCCAACTTTATTCTATTTTCACGATTATATTCGCGATTGCTGAATTGCTTTTATTTAATTTTAACTTAATTTATTTAATTTTATTTTCTAATAATTTTTTATGTACAAATAATGTTATATTTTAAAAATTATTTACAAATTAAGCATGGATGGATAATTCGTAAATAATTCGTAAAGAAAATCATATAAAACAATACAAAATAGATTAACAAACAGATTTCAAATGAAAACCGAGTTGTTCCAAATCTTTCTGAGATTCCATTACTCTTAATTCATTGACTCGTCTTTTTAATTCTTCTCTCGTTGAATCGACCGTTTCATCGATAATTTTCATATCATCTTCAATGAATTTAATCGATTGTTCTGTGGGGAGTTTCACGAAGAGCGTATTTCCAAAGCAAACCCAACTGTGTTCACCCTTCAATGAACATAAATTTAATATTAAAGTCCACTCGATTCAAAGAAACCATTCACCATTTCGCCATATTACTTCCGCACCAGATGAATCTGTCTCATTTCATTTAAAAAGGGCAAATCAAATATATAAAAATTCCGCGACAATTGATCCAATTCGCTGTCGCTTCCCCTCAAAAATTAGCATTGAAAATTAGTTCACCTGTTTTTCTTTTCTATTACGAAGATTCCGAGCAGCTTCTCTGCATTTCTGGCGCCTTTCATCGAGTTCCACTAAAGCTCGTTTACCCATAATTATTCCTTGGCCGAGCTGCTCGTATTCGGCTAAACGTTTTACCATATAACTACTTTCTTCGGTTTTTTTCAGTTTTTCCATATCCTTTAACATTTTAAAATTTTCTACAAAAGGAGCTCATTTCCGATGCACTGAACATTATTCAAATATTATAGTTATTACAATTATATCACATGAATATTACAGTCCACGTACACACCCATCTAATACTAAAACACCTCCAAAGTACCACAAAAACCAAAAAGTTCGTCGAAGTAGAGAATATTTTGGACTTCCGAAAATCGTTTTAGGAACCAGAAAATTCAATTTTGTTGAGAGATGGGAGAGAATTGAAGAATTGACGAGGAATTGACAGTAATTTATGAAATGTAATGGGCATTCACTATGGGCTTTCTGCTTAGTTTTGCGCGCAAAAGCTAAAAACATTTGTGAAAACTTGGCAAAATGAAAGGGATTTGCGAGAGAGCCACTCGGGGAATGGAACCACCGCTCTATAGTAGGCCAATTCTATTTGAACTGTCAACGTGGAATCTGCGAAACATCACATCGATCTTTTAATGACTGATTTTTCGCTCAATCATAGCCGAAAGCATAATCGAAGCCATACTTCTCGTCTTATCTTAATTAACTGAACAATTAACGTTTAGCGAAAAATTGTAAATTACTACAAAAAAAGAAAATGGACTTGGCATGCGAAGCATCGGACCCACTGAAGTAGTTGACAGGCCGGAAGCGTTTCGTTAGTCTTTGTTTGGAATTCCCTCACGTTCAGTGGATTCAGTCGGTTTAGCTTTAACTGCGCAAGCAGGCGACATTGGTGACAAACAAATTATAAGCATGTTTTCACATTTGACATTTTCACTTCGAAGTGCCACATTTTTCTGTTACGGAGATTTCTTGCCGAGTATGATGCTGACGCATCACAGGTTTTAGTTTAGAAATGGTTACACAGTAAGATTCTTGGCGTAAGCCTTAGAAGCTACGACAAACCCCTTAAGGCTCCAATTTATTTTGAAGATTCCATGTCCACGAACGGAGAAAAATTTGCATATTCGTTTCTGATAATTTCTAACGGGCAATGCATTTAGGTAACAGCCCACAACTTAGCCTGTGATTCTATACTTGTAGAAACCATAGTTATCTTCCTATTATGTTGTGTTTCCAGTGTGGCCCCATAATTCTGTTAGAACGAACAAAAATTTAAATATTTGAATAAGGAGTCGTGGGCTTCAAAAATTGAATCCACTGCTTTCATTAGTTTTCATGGCATAAAAAAGCTTACCCTTGATTCAGGGAACTGTGTCAGATCTCGTGCCTACTCGAGCAATGGATTATTGAATTAAAAAGCACTTCCATGCGATAATTTCTTTTCTAATTTATTTTTTAAATTAGAAACTTACTTTAAACTTACTTTAAATTATCATTATCTTTAACAAACTGAAAGATAGGTATAATTTCAGGTCCTCCAGATGCAGAATTATGTGCGGCATCAACAAAAGCATGGTTGCCCGATGTTCAAAGTTGTGATGATTCCGTCGAAAAATGTACTTTAAAATTAAAACCCGATATTGAAACAGAGCTTGAGAAGTTGTCAATATGGGTTGCATGGAATGCTGCTGGTGGTATTCGAAACATTAAAATTATTTTTACAGATGGAAGCTTTCATCTATTAGACCAAGTAAAAGTTATTTAAGTTCCTTGTAGAGTACGCAAAAAATTTTCGGTTCGAGATATTTCTGAAAATTTTATACGCGGTAAGCGATATTATAAGCGATATAAAATATTTGAAAATTTTGGAGCCTCCTAAGCTGAAAGCAAATCCAGTATAAATGACTCTAATAAATTTAAATCTGAACTTTTTATTCGATTTATTTTTTGCTTCATCTCATCGATTCTAAATAAAATTGTTCGTGTAATGTTGAGGACTCACTCTCATACTTTTATCCTTAAGTGACTGTTTGGCGAAAAAAACCATCCTAATAGGTAATAGAATGAGCCGAGTTAAGGATGCTTTTAGAAGAAGAAAAATAAGAATAAATGGATTGAAAATCTATCATTTCAGATATTTTCTCAGTGTGATCAACCAACGACTATATTTCTGCCAACTGAAAAACCAGTTAAGGAGGTATCTTATTTTATCTTTCTCTTTCTTTCTTTCTTTTTTTCACTTTTTTACGTCTTACTGTGGAATTAAGAAAATTTTTCCTTCTTAGTTACAAATTTTATTAATCGTTAGAAATTATTGAAAATGAATTTGTTAATTAGATAAACTTATTAAATAATATATTAATAAGCGATCTGTTCATTAATCAGTTAGTCAAATAAATTTTCAATTTACATTCAGATAAAATTGAAGGTTTCCGAGGTATATTACTATTAATACTTCAATTTTTTTCTCTGTTTCAGATATATATCAGAACGAATAATCCTTTTGTCAGTATCGATGCAGTTCAGTTCATCTCGCCTCCATTTAATACACTATGTTCGCATTGTGAACCGTTTTCGTATAGAATTTATCGCAAGCCGATGTTTCAAAATGGCCACTTCGATACGGCTAATTCTTATTTTATAGACGAGTCGGTTTAAGAATATTTGTTATTTGCTAATGTTAATTTCGCTTGTGATAATTTTATTCATGATAAAGAATGATTTATGATTCAATATTCATATCAAATTGCAATAAATCAATATGATGAAACAGTGTATTAGATTTCAGATCAATTGAAAAAGGTGTAGAATACGAATATTCCGTGAGTGCGATAAATAGAGCCATAGAAGGGACACCATCACCATCAGCAACTTATTTCTTCGAGAAAAATGTTTGCGGTGATAGTAGAAAGGACGAAAATGAAGAATGTGATGATGGAAATTTTAATAATGGTGATGGATGTTCACAAAATTGCATCATTGAAAAGAATTATCATTGTAACAACGATGGCGAAGGTTTTACATATTCATTTCCTTTTTTATTCTGTTAAGTAGTAAAAAATAAATGGTAATGTGACATATTACTTAGATTACCATAGTCTAAATGCAAAGAAAGAATTTACTAAAATTTTACAAGTTGATGATGACCTAGACCAACTATTTGAGGTCATTTTTAAAAGCCAGCCAAACCAGAAATTTGAGTAATATAGAGAAAATTAAACGAAAAGGCAAAGAAATGAAAAAGCTCAATAAAAAAATAAAAATAAAAAAAAAATTTTCAAAAATTTTGAAGAATCAGCTCATATCTGCAAAGTTTTATATATTATCCTTAGTTTTCCTTTAAGTTTGTAAAATTATGATCCACAAATTGCAAATTCCATTTTACTTCTTAGATGGAGCTGTAGAAGGGGCACCATCATCATCAGGAATTTATTTCTTCGAGACGAATGTCAAAGAATGTTATTTATTTTAAAACACCAACTTTATTGTCGATTTTGCAGATTCACAAAGTTTATGTTATATTTATGAAGGTGATGGTATTTGTGAATTCTTTGAATCTTCTAAGATGAATGAAGATTGCTCGTTGGAGCGTACTTTTAAATTTAATAAAGAAATACCTGGAGCTATTTATGTTACTTCTTCATCAAGCGAGGTCACCTGTCCGCTTCAACATTTATTATCTTCCGCGTCAGTTAAAGTATTTTGCTTTGGTTCTAGTATAATGGCTCAATAAGGCTCTTAAAATCGCTTATGCCAAATGTGGCAAATTCTGAACTTTTGCAAAATGTACAAAAGAATAATTTCTTCCAAGAACTGTTTATAGGCTTGCAATGTATGGCCATTAGTTTGGGGAACTTGCTCTCATCTATTAGATTCTGACGAAATAACGATACACGTTGAATTTTTTCATAATATATTACCATCTAGCATCGAAATTAGTTTTGTGCCAGTCAGTTCTTCGAATTTTAATTCATCATATTCTTTGCTGAAAATTGAACTTCACCGCTTAGATAATTCGGTTATTTCATTACCAGGTTTTTATTATATATTTTTTCGTTTAACTTTCTATTCTAACTATTCTTTTTGCTCTTTAAGCCATTTGGTTTGTCAAGATTGATTGCTTGATTATATATTATTAATTAATAAATATGGGGTATAGTTAAGATTTTAATTAGAAACTGCACCTCTGATTTGGTAAGAACTTTTGTTTATTAGATAAGACTTCTTCATCAGGAAGATTCTTCATTTGGAGAGTATATAAAAATCTTCACTCAATTTTTTTTTTCTATGACAGTGCACCATTGCTAGTTAGGCTCGCTCTATTGCCATTCCAGGCCAGACAAATTTTGCCAAGATATAGTTGTATTGCTACCATCAGCCTGAAGCGAAAAGACAGACTTATTTCTGCCGGAAATGGAACCCTAAACCCTAGTACCAGCGCTCCAAAATGAGGGCAATAATTCACAGAGTTAAACCCAATCCATTTTGGCCATTCAGTAGCACTGCCATTCAATGAAGTGTTTCGGCTGGATTCGAATCTTTCAAAAATCCGGCTGATGCCATTTCATTTTTGATGGTAGATTTTAAGTCTTCAAGGAATAGGGATCTATGGTAACATATTATATTGGATGAGAAACATGGAAGAATTCTTGCGTAAAAATATCGCTTCAAATGTAATTTTGGAATGTTGGCATAGAGCGCTGTTAACGCCCATAAGGCTAACATACCTTGGCTTAAGAAGCAAGGAGATACGATAATCGAGTAATTTTCCTTCGATCCAAGCTGTAATAAAATGATTGTAGCAAAAAAAATCACATCTTGTTCACAAAGTCCAATCAATATCGTCATTCCATATTTTCTTGTCGAAGTCCAGTCGCCAGTCACAATAGTGGAAATATCGCTGACTAGTCCATGGCTCATTGGAATTGCTTCTATTGTTCTCTACTCATCAAAGACATTTGACTTAATCACAATTGAAAGCTGTGCAGGTTTGAATTTTTGATTAAGGAAATTTTTTAAAAAATTTTAAATAAATATTTTAATTTGGATAAATTACATTTGTTTCTCAAAGAGATACCACTTAAAAATGTGGGAAATAATTTTTAGCTCAAAAACTATATTTCGATCCGCTAACAGGTAAATGTATACCTCGAGAATGCGATAGGCAACAAACTGCGTCGTGCTCACCATTCAGTTTACCAAATGCTGAAGTAATCGAATGAAATTTTTTATACCACTTACTATATCCGATTTAGCTATATATACTATATATAACATGGCCAGGGAATCATTTGGAGATAAAAGCAGAGTCATCACCCGAATTTGATTTTTAATGGCCGTACATATTCCTGTCGAAGCCAATTGTCGAAACTTTAATCACTCTATAGATCACTCGATCATTTTGATTCCAATCATTATGGAATGCCATATTTTAATCGCATTCATAAATTAATTTAAAATTTGGTTTTTCTTTTCTTTTAAAATATTTATTGAATTACATTCATTCTTTTCATCAACTAATGTATATTGATCAACAAATTTATTGAAATATTTTAAGGTTGACTGTATTCGAAATAATTGCGCAATTCGTTGCACATATGGATATAAATTATCGACTTCAATGTCAACAGCAAATGTTATTTGTGTTAAAGGGGAATGGTTTGGTGATATACATGCTGTTTGTGAACCCATTACATGCTCACTGCCATATATTGAAAATGCAAGCTCTAATTGCACGTCAGCAATGCACTGTGGTGATCTATGCACATTTAAATGTAATCCAAACAGCATTATGATAGGTTAGTTCCATTTAGTTCCATTGATTTTCTCAAAACTATGTAGCAGTGTACTGTCAACATTTTTATCACCATTAATATTATTATTAACTATAATATATATAACATTCTATTGTAAAATAGAATATTGAATATTTCATCAATATCGAAATTGATCGGCACAGAATATAATGAGAAATGCGAATTAAATTTGATTAAACTATTGCTATAATTGCTAATGAAAACATAGGAAACTATGGATCTTTTTGAGGTCGAACAAATAAATAAATTTAAATTAATAATCAATTTAAATTTAAATTTAATAATCAATTTAAATAAATTATTAAAAATAGAATGTGGGTGGTGCAAGCGAAAAATTTCTTCCCTATTTCTATATCCAAGTGAGAAAGGATAGTCAGTGGAGCCAACCGAACTAGTATTCTGACAGGAAAAGTTTAAATACAAATTTTTTCTTACCTATATTCTCATTTCGTTTCGCCTTCGAGGAAAAATTCTATTTGCCTTATTTTCTCTATTATTTTTATTGCCAATTCGATTTTAGGATCTGAAAACGAAGTAAAATGTGGTGAAAATGGACTCTGGTCGCTTCCTGAAGCTTTTTGTCAGGTGTGCATGAAAACACTTTTGTGCTTTTTCTGAAATAATTTCATTGTTATCGTCCTAAGAAATAAGATAATCATAAATCTGATTCCCTTAATTTTTATAAGTGCTCGAACAATTGTTCCGAAAGAAATATTTTTCTTATTCAATTTCAAAGACCCAGATTTTTTAATATTCTGTATTTTTGATAATGGCTTGAAAAAAATAGATTCACTGCTCATTGGAGCAGCTACTTGAACATAATGTGTCGAGCGATTCATTGATGTGCAAATCGATTCTACCACTTGTTTATAACAATCTTTATCCAGTATCAACTGTATGCCGAGCAAGTTGCCGTCCACAGTTTCGAATTAGTCAAACATCACAAACGAAGTAATTTTTACGAAATATTTCTTTGGCAGAGCTAGCAGATTTTGACCGATTCTCGACAGTAAACATGAAAGTACAGTTTTTACTGTAAGATTGCGCTCTCATCTGTATGAAATATTGCAAAAAAGCAATTGAAAAGGAATTAAGGGCTCAAAAATGTTTGGTGGGATATGAAATTGAGGTATGAGCGTTAAGTCTATTATTTGCCTCCTGTCAAATATGAATAAAGTTGCGATACATACTTATTTCATGATTAAATCAACGCGAAGAAAAGCTTCATCAATATAAATAAGCAGCATTTAAAAAAATTTAGTTCAATCATTGTGACCTTGAAAATATGGATCGAATTACCAGATTACGTCTATCGTGCTCTGATAATGGTCTGTGGGTTGGTCCCAGTTGTCAACAAATTACTTGCTTGCCACCGAAGGTTATCTATATGGGTTCATATAACTGCTCCAATGGATTCGCTATAGGATCGCATTGCCATTTTCAGTGTCCAGATACTAATGAAGTAAGAAATCAGATCAACCGATAAAAATTTTATGTCCTTCTTGCATAATTTCCATTGTTAGTTTGACAAGGAGGGGCTCAGGATGAGGATGAGCGATTGAAAATGGTAATTATTAAATTATTATTTTAAAAAAATGAGTGAAATTTGACGAAATTTGAAATTTAAAAAAAGCAAATTAGCGCTTACCATTTTAATTAAACTCGCTCATTAACAGAGTTATAAATTTTTGCCCAGGAATTACTCATTTGGATTACAAATGTGGATGAGTTAGTAGCACTATAAGCTCCTTAATTTTTCAATCATATTCTTGTCAGGAGCAGGAGTCGAACCGTTTTGCCTTTCAAAACTATTTATTCTCCCCTCGATTACCCAACTTATGAACTGAATGAATATTATTTTTGAAGAATTTTGCTTTATGCTGAAATTTATGACCTATTATTTCAGAAGAAAACAATGGTTTGTCAAAAAAATGGAGTTTGGTCTAGAAGGTTCCAATGTTCAGCTCCACAAGTTACATGCAAATTCCCTGCAAAAATACAAAATATTAATTTTAAATGCCCGACTAGAATAGCGAGAGGTTTTTATCTTTTCGAAAGTTTTGGTTCTTCAACTATGGAAAATTCTTCAACCTATAGATAAAAAAGCTCTAGTACCTTGTTCTTGTGAATCTTATCAAATTTATATAGAATGAATGATGATGAACAATAAAAATAATAAATAATAATAAATAAATAAAGATATTTTTTAGGGGCATCATGTTCAGTTTCTTGTCCGATTAAGGGTTATGATATATAGAATGAATGATGATGAACAATAAAAATAATAAATAATAATAAATAAATAAAGATATTTTTTAGGGGCATCATGTTCAGTTTCTTGTCCGATTAAGGGTTATGATGCTGTCATGCAAGAGAAGCAGCAACTTCCATCTGGAAATGAACTTTTAATTCTACGACCAATAAACAATATATCTTGCACAGTATCATCGACTTTTTATCCTCATCCAGAATCTTTATTATGTGTTCGTTCATGCAATAAGGTCCTCATTTTCACGTTAACAATTGGAAATTGTTATAAATAATATTTCCTAATTTGTATTTCCTAATAGAGTAAGGAACCTCGGTAAGTATAGGTTTTGAACGATCGATAACTATGTAATAAATAAATATAACTAAAGTGCGGTTTTCTTTAGCAGTTTATTGGAGATGGTTGGTGTGATTTCCAAAATAATCGTGGATATTGTGGGTGGGATAATGGTGATTGTTGTGCCAGCACGGTTCGAGGAGGACGTGTCCGTTTAATGTTTCCATTTTTGTGTACATCTTTACTCTGTCAATGTATGGACCCCTTTGCAATTGAAAATTCAATGAAGCCTCCATATGTCAATGCGAATATCACAGGAAGGTAAGGGCCAATACAAGGTCGAAGATTAAAAAAGGCATTGATATTTAAAAATTTTTATTGCATAAAATGAAATCTACAATCCATAAAATTTAAGAGTTTCTTACAACCATTTTGTTAAAATTTAAATTTCAGAATAAATCAACAGTTAATCAAGCAATGAAATTTAATAATTAGTAATAACACATAAAATTTGAGAAATAATTTGAGAAATACTAGTTCGCAACATTGTTGATTTGGCTCGCTTCATTAACGACAAGAGTAAAATATGAGATATTTCCAAATCTCCTGATTCGATGCCAATCATGAAAGTAACTCAAGCCACGTCTTCTTCCATCTCCCAAACTCATTTAATCTGGGTGCCAATGCTTATCGTTCCAGGTCTTGGTTGTTCTTCCATGCTTTTTGACACCATTTAAGAAATTGCGAGGTATGCATTAATTCCTGTGGTCGATTGTGACCAAACGGCAGATGACAATATTCGATATTCCTAAAACATGATTGTTCCAGCGACGAAGAATATGAGACTTCGTCCACTTAGCATGTAAGATATACCCAAGAATAAAAGGCAGATAATTTACTGATATCTCCCACTCTTACTAGTCGAGCTCCATATAATGTGTACTAGGTGGATAAGAACTTTTTTTTTGAGGCTAATTTCGATTACAGAGAGGTCTTCTCTAGGTAAAAGAAGGCTTTGAATTTCGTCTGTCATCTAACCATTAAGTATGGGATATGGGATATCCGAGATATTTAAAGTATGACGTTTCTTCGATTGTTGACGAATTGCGACCATATTAAAAATTAATTTGAAGGCTAGTTCTCTCTCTGCACCGTCCATTACAATTCCTCGTTGTTTTCAGCAAAAAGGACAACATTAATAGCGTATTAATGGTCCATGATAATTGATTTGCACACATTTTGGGTACTGGTAAATAACGTCCATAACTCAATCCGTAGTTCAAAACTGTAGGCGAAGGAACGCAACCTTAATGCACATCAATATTTCAAAAGGTTGTGCTTACTCTTCCTGCACATCTGCACTGACATACGCCTATAAAATATTTCGAAATCATGTTGCATGATTATACAGAGTGCCACCTTATCAATTGAATCAAAGGCAAGGGGAAAGCAGATGAAGCGATAGATTAATACTTGAAATCATGTTCCATATCCTCCTCAGCGTAAAAATTTGGTTAGCAAAGCCACATCCTGGTCGCTTTAATTAGAAAATCCCACTGTTACCCATTGCCATGAGTCTATTAAAAGAGAAGCAAAAACCTTTCAGAAATCTAGCAGGGTGATTTCTCGATAGTTATTCACTCTTCAGAATTAGGAACAGAATTCCTTGTTTCAGTCGCATGTATTAGCTCCTTCTCTCACACTAGTGAAAACAATCAGCTATTTTGTGAGAGGCGCTGGGCAGCATTTGAAGACTTCAGGTCATCTCATAGGATTTTATTTGACTTATGCTTGTAAATTATATCTTCTTGGATTGGTTTTCAATTGGGTAGCTCTGAAGGCATTCCAGTAATGTCTGCGATGCTGGATGGCTCGTCTGGATTCAAAGAATTTTCTCCATCGGGTGAGGCGATATTTGATAGTTTTAATTGGATTTCTCGAATCTTAATCTCGAATCACTACTTTTCCAATACCTTTTGTGTTAGGCTGAATAATTTTCGATGATCAGCTGCCTTGACCTGTCTTCTGTCTTCAAAGCCATATCATTCTAGCATCATCGCGATCGCGATTGTAGCAAATGCTGCAACTGATATTTGCTAATATGCTCGCTCTGGTGGCATGGACCATTTCGGTCCCAGCTTGCCTTCTTCCGAGTCAAATTCTGAGCGGTTTTTTTCGAATAGAAAGATTTCGACTGGGACCGGTAATATTTCCAGAGGCATTAGGATTATTGAGATCTTCCAAATGTTTCGATAAAACTCATCTTGAAATTTGTTGGTTGCCCTTGAATCTTTTAACTTGAGACAATTAAAAGAATTTGGCGCTTTGTTTTCCGTTATCAATTTCATTCCAGTCTAGCCAAAAGGTGGTCCGACCTGTGGAAGTTGCCAGTTTCAATTCCCCAATATGTGGGGCTATCCAGTTCAGGATTCTTCCATCAGTGATTTAACAAAATATAATAAATATGACTCAAGAACTGATTATCTGTCGAGTTCAACTCACTAGATGTCATCTGCAAAGCTGAACGCATGTATTTGTGGCAAAAAAACCATGCTTCTCATCATAGTGGAGAAGACGCTTTCTGTTGGTACTCCATATCACAACTCAATACCTGCAGCCCACAGAAGATAGCAGAATATCCTATAGGCGCATTCCAATCTCCCGCGATTGTAATCATCCTTTTCCGGAAGAGGATTAACAAATTCAGCTCGATATAGAATCTATCATCCAGATTATTAGTGAGAGCATGAACAATGATGATCGAGATATTACAAAATTAACCTTTAAAGCGGACCTACTCCAATCGATCATTAGGATTTCATACGATTAGAACTATCCGTGCAACTTTGATAGAATGGTTCAGTGGGTTGTTGCTCAACTGGGAGCGTCGACGCTGATGTTCGATTCCCAGCAGGAGTAAACCTGTACAAAAAATCTGTGTGATGCTAGCAACTCACCTTTATTTCTATCGCCAAGGGATATTTCTCTCTCTGGTAAATTTATCCAATGCGACAAGCCAGCGGAGCGACCAGTAATGGTGAAAACTTTAAAAAAAAAGAAATCGTGCCCTTGCGGATATAACATTGTAGCTTCATTTCTATTTGATTAACTACTTTGATACGGCCAGTATTTCATACTCGAAGAAGTCATTGCTCCTCCATTTTACGTACTTAAAGCCAATATGTAATCTCTCCATGTGCACATAGAGTGGTTTGACATTTATTCCAATTCCTTAGATAGGTGAGATAATAATATTAAAATATCTAATAAAATACAGACGATACATAGAACTTTTATCAATTTGTCTGTGAATCATAAATAAGTAATCAATAGATAAATAACTTATAAAAATATATAACTAATAAATTTAATAAATTTCAATTGTAATTTATCCTTATAATTATTTATAAGAAATGAAAAAGAGATAAGCACCATTGCTTACCTTCTTAATTTTTATGCAGAAGATAATTCATCAAAAATAAATGTTAGGAAGCACAAATCGACCATCAAACGTGCGGCTTATATTACCCAACGCCATCGGTATTCGTTAAATGATTTACATGAATTATTGGAAAGATCTGGAAATGAAGAAATATCTCGTCAGTGGGCAGCCGATTCAATCGCTGTTTTACAAAATGACCGATACCCTGAACAAATCAATTTTACAATAAAATTTAACTTCTTAGAAAGACAAGGCATTTGAAAATAGTCATGTCTCTTTGAAAAAATGACAAATTTAATCTTATATGATTTATTTGAAATATGGTATAATCAACTTTTTGCCTAATATTTTTTGCACATAAAAATTTGATAATTCCTTCTTAACTAGGTTTTGCTCCATTACTGTTTATTTAATCGAAAGGTGCCTCATCCTTGATCTACCAATCTAGAATTTAGGTCTATTTAGATTTTAGATTTTAGAACATTTTCCGTTTTTTTCCACTGCATATATTTAGCATGAAATAATTTATCAATTATAATTTGTAAAAGTCCGTGTTAAAAATAAAGTTGTAATAAAATTTTTTGAAATTTCAAAATTTTGGGTTATATAGACTTTTTCGATAATTTCGAAAATTTTTCGATAAAACGAAATAAAAGGCTACCAAATTCAGATCAAACTAAGCTTTCAAATCCCAAAGATTCGGTTGATGAAATCTTTACGGATTCCTCACGAAATCGCTATAAAAAAGAAAGGAACGTCTATATAGGCGCAGTTCGCTTGATCTTGTTGTATGGCTACGAAACTTGGCCATTTAGAGTGAAGATGAGATATTAAGAAGATATCTGACTTTGGCCGCTCATGTCTAAGATATATCTTACAGATCCTCCGTCCGGATAAAATCGCACATCATAATATTCATATTCTTCATCAAATACCACTTTTATTAATAATATTGTCACAGAGCGTCGTCTTCGCTGGTTAGAGCATGTTTTCACTCGTTCAACACAAGAGTTAATGCATATTTCGCTCTTGTGATGGTTGCCGCCAAAAGCAAGTAGAACCAATCAAGATCTGGACTGATACAATCAAAAAAAGTTTTGAACATATAGATGGACTTAGACGATGAAAAAAGGAATGGCATCTATTTCTAATAGCGATGGCGTCGCACTGAGCATATTTTATGCTTCACCCTCATAACCACCGAAGTATAATTCAGCTAAAAAACCAAATATTATATCTGAAAATATTAAGAAATGAAAATTTTTATATATGAAAATTGCATTAAATATCTTTGATATGCTCGTTTTATTAAGGAATCTATTGTTATTATTTATTATTATTATTATTATCCTT